GAACTTCATGTCTGTGGGATTTGTTTGATGAGTTTGCTTGAAAGATTGATCGAAAGAACATATTTGTCTTAATAAACCTAGACATAAATAACGTCTAACAAATTACCTCACAAACTACTAATAAACAGACTGGAGTCTACCTGAATAACCTATCCCCTTCTAAATTCTTGAACTCGTTTCTTGCAAATCGATATCAAATAACTGCTCCAAACACTAAAATATTAAAATTACGAAGATTAATAGGTTTTATTTCAAGAGATTTCTATCATCATAAGTCTAGAATTCTTCTGTACAAGATTTTTGTTAAACCTGTCCACTACTTACTTACTTACGCCTGTTACTCCTAATGGAGTATAGGCCGCCGACCAGCATTCTCCAACCCACTCTGTCTTAGGCCTTCTTTTCTAGTTCCATCCAATTTTTGTTCTTTGATCTTTCTCTTCTCCTTTAGCCTTGCGGATTCCATGTGAGGGCTTATCTTGTGACACAGTTGGGTGCTTTCTTCAATGTTTGTGCTATCCATTTCGAGCACCTCTTCATAATTTCTTCCTCCACTGCAATCTGGTTTGTTCTCTCCCACAGTAGTTTGTTGCTAATAGTGTCTGGCCAACGGATCCGATGTAATTTAAATAGACAACTGTTATTAAACACCTATATATTCTGGATGATGGTTTTCCAGGTTTCCGCCCCATACAGTAAAACTGTATTGACATTTGTATTGAAAATTCTGACCTTTGTTGGTCGCCGATTGTTTTGAGTTCCAGATGTTCTTCAGTTGTAAATATGCTGCTTTTGCTTTTCCGATCCGCTCCTTTACATCTGCATCAGATCCACTGTTTTTATCGATGATGCTGCCTGATATTTGAATGTTTTTACATCCTCCGAAGCTTCTCCGTCAAGTTTGATTGAATTGGTGCATGCTGTGTTGTATCGGAGAATCTTGCTTTTCCCTTTGTGCATATTGAGACCTATTGCTGCTGATGCTTCTGCTACACTGGTTGTCTTCTCCTGCATTTGTTGTTGCGTTTGCGATAGAAGAACCAGATCATTTTTGAAGTCTAGATCGTCAAACTACATCCTAGATGTCCACTGTATCCCGTGTTTCACTTCTGGTGTTGACGACTTCATGAATCAGTCAATCACCAGGAAAAAAAGGACTCCGCCTACAGTCCCATGGAGGCTACGGCCGGTCCTAATCCCGGATAAAGGAGGAGAGTTTGGCATGGGGTCGCTAACCCCCATCCCGTAAAAAAATAACTTGCTAAAAAATGCGGACCAGATAACCTGTCCATGAATAATGCTGTTTCATATTTAGCGATTCGCGTCTATCTGGTACGCCTAACTTGGAAGGAGTTCAAGCATATTTCACAGTAAAATAAAATATATTTAGACGCTACATTCTAGTACACAAACTCCCAAGAAAAGTAGGGCTTAGGACATGACTGATGGGTTAGGTTTTTTAGTATATGCAACTTTCTCATAGTCAAACTTAATACGTGTATGTTTGGTCTAAGTAACCCCATTCTTACAATCAGAAACTTGCTCATAAAGCAGCAGTATAACCACGGATCGATACTATCAATATACCTAGATTATGTAGTTTAAATCGGATTTAGGTAAACAAATGAACACAAACAGAAGGCTTACATAATTGCCTCGCATCATATCACTTGCTTATATGTGGCTCAAATCTCCCACTGACATAACATTTGATAACTCGTATTAACGAATGGTTAATATGAACTGTTTATTGGTGAAACTCATTCGAGTATAAGTATTGTCCTGAATATAATACATTTATGTGGAGAATAAATAGTTAGTCAAAACTATGTAAGAACTAGATAGACTGTGCATTTGAAAAAGTCCTGAATAAGCTAAATCCTCCACGAAACTCAATCAAGAATTTAATTCTGAAGCAGGCAGAATCTAATTGTATTGTATTATTATGACAGAATAAAGCATAACTGTAAAAAGCGATCCACAACAATAGATATGATAAAGCTTTAGTATATCAACACGAACGTGACTGCAAAGTGATATGAAGTCGGGCAAATCTTTTTCAAATGACAAAATATGATTCTGAATTTATTCATACCAGAACTATTTTATTACACTGAACATCACTAAACATTTGTGTTTTGTTCTTCACTTAGTTCACAAAGGCTGAATCTATCAGTAATGTATTTATCATTCACTGGGTTCTACCTATCATTTTTCTATTTTTCTGTTTACTTCGTAATTCAGTGCCGATTGTTGGAGTTTTATAGTCATTAAGGATATTACATCATTTAGATAGAGCTCTACGCAACTATCTGCAGCAAACATGTTCAGTACCTCACAGTCAAAAAATAACAAACGAGAAATACAAATATATATATGTCACAGGAAATCATTGATGACAATTACATTTTAATATGAAGTATATACGGATTTATTGATCGACAAATGAACTAAAGTACTAGATATAGTACACCTTTTAAGTATAAAAAAAGGCCTCAGAAATATGATTTGATTGTAAAACATTTAAAATAAAACTCACTATTCAGAACAATTTGGTTGAGAAATAGAATACAAATTCATGTTTCATGCAGAAGAAAACCTCTATACAACAAATAATCTTTATTTCTATGTCAACAATAAAAAGATATTTATTTAGATGTTTTGTTAAAATGCAAACAAAACATTTCTTTAGATGGATCACATTTAGACTGAATTCATTAGTAATGTGTTGAGAAACTTCAATGTAAGTGTTTTATTTCTCAGAATATAAACATCAAATATGTTTGTGATTTAAATGAAAAAGGTCGATACATAATTGACTATGATTAGAATAGTTAAAATTTTACATTGTTTCTTACTGATTTATGTTGTCTTTGTAATGAAGACAGTATTATTGAACTGATTAAATAGAAGGAAATATGTGCATAAGGTATGGAAAATTGAATATTAAAAGATCAAGATCTCATTCTACCGGATTCAATCCACAATTTAAGATTAAATAATCATGTGTTTACTGTTTATGTGATTATGAATGCCACACACATCTCATAAACATCACGCTTACATCATTTGTTTACATTTTCATATTATTAAGGTTAAAAGAGTTTTCGCGTTATGTTACTTGATAAAATATGAATCATTAATGCAATAAAACTAGACCACAATAAACTGCATGCATTGCATCAAAGCAATAACTCTAATCATTTTGTTCATTGAATTATCACTATTTACATTTATAACTGAATATACATAAGCAACTGTGATTATGCTGACGTTCAATGTTCTCAAATTTCCAGTAATTATCATTACATTTGCGTTCAAGTGATTATGACATACAGTTGAACATATTGAAAACATTTCAAATATTACCAAATTAAGATGTTTCTCTTATCAAAACCAGTTTTCTTTTCCAATACCCTAACCCTATTCCATACACTCGACATCCTTTCAGATTTTCCTATTCATCAAATTCTCAATAAGTTATGTGAACTTCTGTAGATGTAATCACAAAATAGTCACGTATTTTCTATAAAAAATGTAAAAGTTTATATTTACCGTTGTTCAATAAAATGCATTTTGATATGTGTTACTGTGGTATTCGAATGAACTAATGATTCCTTTGTACTTGTTGAATGCCTGATTTCAAATTCTAAATACAGTACATTCGTTAGTGCTTGTGTAGTACTTCTTGATTGAATTGTGTTATTTCTGGGATTCTTAGTTCGTAATATAATTCAATTACTCCTATTCATCATAGTTACTCAACGACTAGATTGATCAGTTAAATACCTAATCAAGTCGTAACACAAGATTCACTTCATAAATTTTCTTATTGTGATAGCAATATAAAACCTGGTTACATACAATTTCGAAAGCACTTGATTCATCCAAACAGTAAGAAAATATCGACGCATACAACACCCATCTATTGTCACTCGTAGCTTACGGTAAAAAAGAAAGTAAATGTTAAGTGTACTGAAGCATGCAAATCACTCAATCGAAGTTCACAAAACAACGATTTGTCAGAAATCGCGGTTCTTTATTAAGTGATCTACAAACACTAGTTACACACCTCAACTCGTCAGGTGTCTGAGGCGATTACCACTTCCTTTATTTTGAAATAAAAAGGCTTCGATAGTGCGAGAGTGACAGCCGCTCGCTGTGTAAAAACTTCATCACGGTGTATTAACAAGCAGAAATCGCACTAACACCAAACAATATGGAAACTGTTGCATTCAGACAAGGGTTAACCGAATGCACGAAATTCCGAACAACTAATACAGTGATTGATATCAAGTAACTATAATGATAAGTGTTAATGATAAATGTTATAAGAATTTGTAAACATTTCAGAATATTACACGACAAACTTGCATTACAAAATAAGCGTAGAAATTGCTAGGAGGAATACTTTTGTTTACTCAATATTAATAAGTAGCATAAAACAATACACACAAGAGTCGAACTGAACTGAACTGAACTGAAGTGAAGTGAAGTGAACAGATTAAGCACAGAGAACGTATTACAGAAGTGACAGTAACAGTTTATTCAAAGTAAACACAGATTCTATTTCTTGGCTTAGATAAGATGGACTGATTCACCTTTTCAAACAAATTGTACCAGCTTTTTCAAGTCGTTTCTGTGAATTAGAAATCTTCGGAATAAAGAGTACTAATCAAATTACTGTTTGTTTTGTACAACAGTACAGTAGTAGTTAGCCAATTAACACAAATCCGTAGCTTATTATTCATAATAAGATAGATGTTCAATACTAACGATTATATTTGATCTATAATTATTGAACATCGCTTTAACTGTCCGCTTTAAAATACCTGTGAAAAATTAAACAACCACTTCTGAAAATAGAATGAGTAACTAACTATTAATTTTAAATCATTTTCATCCAATGATAGTTTATAATTTATTTGGAAACAGCCCTTAATCTATCAAGGTCACTGTGACATATATATATAAATAAGACCAATTAGATCATTCTGATTAATTTACCATGGTCAACTGTAACCATTTCTAGTTGTCTCATTTCATTTAAATATCTAATATGTACCATATTTATCTTCACTCCCATCAGTAATTATAAATTTGATAAGTGTCAATCAACGACTAGAAGTCTGATAAACACACATAACAATAAATTACTGAGTACATGTTTCTCATTTAATTTACTATTCGCTGTCAATCACTAATCTAATACATCGTCCTTGTGGTTTTTTGAACGCAATTTTTATTCACTTCGATGAGATCGACTAGATATTCAAAGCAACATAAACTTCTTGGAGAATTTATGAACATTGCAGTTGATGCACTCTTACGTTCGTCATGCATAATGATATTACTACCAACATTGTTTAATTCAGAAGCTCATGCAAAAATCACCATCGACGATGATACTGGTTACTTTGTTGATTCACAAGGATTTATTAAATTATTTCATGGAATCAACTGTGTGCATAAAGTCGCACCATTTTACTTTCCAAAACTACTTGACCCTGATTCATTCAGAGTACTCAGAGATTGGGGAATTAATGTTATACGCTTAGAATTCAATTGGATAGCATTAAAACCACAGGAAAATGAAACCAGTCGAGAGTACTTAGATATCATTGAGAAGATTATCGACAATGCTGGATTATATGGAGTTTATATTATCATTGACTTGCATCAAGATGGATTATCGAAACGTCTAGGTGCAATCGATGCTGTGCCTAATTGGTTTATGGATAAAATAAAGCGACCACCATATTTATTCCAATATCCTTGGCCACTAACGAAAGATCCAAGTAAAAGCAACTGGTTTCTAACGTACGCCACATATGAGAGTGCACATGTATTTCAAAGTATATATAAAAATGTCTCAGGAACATGGAATTATTTTGCAGAATATTGGAGGATAACAACCAGTCGTTTCGGGAGGAAAGATAACGTTCTAGGTTATAATTTGATAAATGAACCGCCACCTGGAAATTTCTACATAAATCCATTCCTTCTTTTGCCTAGTAAGTGACAAGTATGCAACATTTTAGTTGTACTAATTCTTTTGAACATTTTTATCATAATGCTTTATTCACTAGTTCGAGTCTTTCCATCACTTGACTGAAAATTTTCTTCTCGTTTGCAACGTATTTATTCAAGTCAAGTGATTGTGAAGTCGTTGGATGTTTATTGATTTGTAAATCAACCAGGTTTTTACTTGTCTGCCTGTTTATCAGTCGTTCCACTAAAATTATCATCTTAAATCACTATTAAAAAATAAATAACGTCAATACGGACATCAGTGTGCATATTTCCACTTTTAGAAGTGTACATGTTTTTGCGATCAACTAATACAGAAATATATTTCTAAGAGTATTGTGGTAACTACTTCATGTCGTATCATCACTATTGCAATCAGTTTGCATTACAACATCGTCATGTCTCATTCAAATAATTTACATATTTCTTTCTTACTTCAAGATCAATTCAATAAATATTACTTTTACTGACTGGAATTTTTCTGCTGCAGAAATCACTACTCACTTTTCTTGAAAATAGCTCAATGTAGCTCAATCAATCAGATGATTTTCAATCCAATCTATTTGTGAGACATATTGTTGAGATAGTTCCTTTTTGGAACTAACTTACTAACTTCTCACATTTTGTTTTTTATGAATTCCTCACCCAAGTCAAATATCCAAGTTTTAGCTAAACTAAGAAGTGAAACCTTATTTAGAAAGGTTAACTTTTGTTTACAACAACAACTATTGATAACATATTTTTAACCTGGGTGTAATTGATTAAACAAAAATTCAGCGATTGTCATACCCATGAAAACCAATTGCGATAGTCTTGGAAGTAAAAGGTAAATGATTTTCTCGACTTCAGGGTAAGCGTTTTTCAGGCCAACACTTCGAGTTAATAATTGATTTGGTTTCGTCACATGGGTCCAGTTTTCTCTCCTTCAGTATTATTCTCATCAATCACTGTCAGAGAATTTGATTATTCAGCCCATATATTACTGAAACAAATGACATTCTTAGCTCGAACAAATGATATCATGTATTATTAGAATGAAAGGCGAACTCTAGACTAAATCCAAGTAACCACTTAACTCACTTGGGTCAGTCAGTGAAATTGATACTGTATAATTACTTGTCATGAAAGTAATCTTGAAGCATTAAAAGAGAGTATTCTGAGTTGAAATATTCACTAGGAATAAACATTCTTCGTTCTCTTTGACCTCACCAATAATGTGAGTATCACATTGTGGTTTGGGCATTGTTGAAGCTTAGAGAATTACGACATTCAAAACACTCGAAGCATGTATACAGAAATTAAAGTCAACTCGCACTTTATTGTAGCCTCCGAGTTCAGTAAATTTTAGACTACTGAGTTCAACAGTTCAAGAATGACATTCGATTTTCCAACTATGTCTGCACTAATTCTCTTTCATTACTTCTACATCTATCCAAGCTAACAGTTTCCAGTTGGTTTTTCTTTGAAGCAAATCTCGCTTGTTCATTTATCGAAGTAAACATCGTGGATTATTAACCAAATCCAGAACACATTGAAACCTCACTCAATAGGTGTTGTGACTGAGTTATTTCCCGATTACAATATTATCTTTATAGTATCTGAACCGAAAACGTAACTTATAGGGAGGCTTCTGAATTACAATATCTTAACCAGATATGAAAAGTCCATTTAAACCCGTATTTAACAGTGAATTTTCTGACAATTATTTCCACACGTAACTAAACAACTATGACTAAACGGTTTAATGTTGTCACATCTCTGTAATTAACAACAAGGAACTTGCACAGACACCAACTTAAAATCCGTGGGTGTTATAACAATCTGTCATTGTTTCATGATCCTAATACCAAATTTTCAAAGACAGTAATTTGGTTGTTCAAGCACCCTTTTAATTCTCGCAATCATTTCATTTTTGATTATCAGTAGGTATCACCTCCACTCTCGAAAATAATACGAAATAATAGAAAAAGGCTTTTCCAACTACAAAGAAAGGCGAGTCGCTGATGCTTCCCACATATCGCTAAATCCTACGGCCCTCAATAGGAAAGGCTAACTATCTATCGGACTTGGACTATCTGTCCGAACTAGCATGTCTCATTCTACTGACATTTCATACTATTATCATATTTATATATATAAATTCAACCCTATCCTCCACATAACAAATGTCACATGTTTCATCCATTAACACAGATAAATATGCAAAAGTGTCTCGAACAAGTCACCTAGACAGGATTGACATGCAGTTAACTTGGTCACACACGCTCTTGGATTTATCGAGCCAAACAATTTTCTTTGTTCTTTTACATTATCTAAACATGGATTTATTCAACTAATTCATTTATTCTCTGAAGACTTAGCTTTCACTAAGTCTCAGAACGTCAGGAAAATTTTTTTTTGGATTTGTAGGAAACTTGGTTTTTCAATGATTGATAGAGCATTCGCGCGCGTGACTGAAGGTCTTGGTTTCGAGTCTCACGCATGGGATCGTAAACACACACCGCTGAGTCGTCCCATACTAAAACAAAATGACGTCCAGTGCTTCTAAATTTTCAATGAAAGTTTAACTTAGATCGATCCGTGATTTCAACTGTAAAAATAATAATAATAATCATTTTCACAACATTCATAGATATTTATTACTACATCTTTAACTCATACTACTGCCACTACTAATACTGAAATAGATTTACTTCCGATTCGTTGTCTAAATGACATCAATATTATGTTTCACTTATGAAAATATCTAATACGTTTTCACTTCAATGACTAGAAATTCCATTGCTCATCTCATTCTACCTGACTCAACCCCCACAATTTAACATTAAATAATGTGTTTACTGTTTAAATGATCATCAATGACATACACATCTGATAAACATCACGTTTATATCATATGAAAAGTCGATTTAAACACATATTTATGTTAGATTCAATAGGAATTTGCTGATTGATGCACATCTATAAAACGATCACTTTTACCTCATCTCGTCTTCAGCTTCATGTCGCTTTTGTTCTTGACATTGCTCAGATGTGAAAATTTTCCTCATATGTTGGAATATGCCATTGTGACAATGTCGCACTAACAAACAAAATTATCAGCTTAGAGTTCTGAAAACTGTCGAGTTTCTATTGAAAACCTGAAAGCACTGAATAGCCATTTCGTAATAAAACGTGGTTCCTCAACAGTGAGCTTCCTGCTTGCAGGACCATCAATGTTCGCTGCTGAGAAGTCATATTTCAAGACTGAACGGCTTTTCAGTACTCCCAGGTTCTAGAAGCACGTGATCAACCGTAGTCATGGTTATCAATAAAATATCTACTAAAGCAACTAAACCAACATCTGATCAGTTTCATCATGATTCATCCAGAAACAACATATAGTAATTGCAATATTGAGTAACATATATCTGAATATTAGAAGGTAGATTACAAGTAGAGAATTCATATCATCATTATGACAATTAACATCAGCAGGTGAACTAACAACGAACAACACGATTTGTTTATTGCTTTTGGCTATTCAGTGTTTTGTTGTTGATAATTTAGAACACATACATAAATGAGCACAAAATGATGGTAATATTGGTCATAATGACAATCATAGTAAGAATAAAAAGGGTGTTATGTAGAACTATTTTACGTGTTTATAATTTCAGTCAGTGTGATTTCGGAATTCGCCATCTTCAACATCACTATTATCACTCATTCTGTCTGTCTGTTTTCCACTGTCAATATAATCAACAAAACGGACATCGAGATAAGATTCGCCAAAATTAATCAAGTTACTCATTAACGTACACTATGCATGATGTCTTCTTAGGTGATTGATTTGTTCACATCGTTAGATTATAGATGTTGACTTACAAATGAAGAACATTTTGTAATGATTAGAAGAGAATTGGGTTCTCCTGTTATTGATATTTCCAACTGGATGTAAATAAACACAAACACTTAGATGTAAGATGACCCATCTAATAAGTCCCTAATAAAATGAAAAGAGTTTCGTGAATGCCAATAACCACCACAATCTATCTTTCCGAAAACAGTCTGTTCATAACAGATATGCTTATTTCAGTAGAAAATAGACTGCTTAACTCATGCATCGCGACATTGAATATCATTGTTGTGAAATTTCAATTATTTTCATTCTCGAATTCCATTTCGATTCTTACATTTCCGATCTCTTACTTTTCGTATTCGGACAGATAATGCAGGTCAAAATCTCTTACCATTTTATGATTATTTGGTGAATGTTATTCGCCAAACAGACAAGAATACATTGATATTTTACGAGAGTGTAACTTATGGAATATATTTTCCATTTGTCAATGGAATACCCGGTACTGGCATCCAACGTGTTCCTGGTCTATTACAGGATGAGATGGCCAGAAAGAAGAGTGTATTATCTTATCATTACTACTGTTGGCTATTGGAATCGACACCATCTACACAGGATATGCCATCATGGAAACGATATTTGTGTGATCAAGTGAGAGTTTTCTTTACCTGGTTTATTGTTTGTAACACATGTGCACTCATTCCAATCACTCGATGCTTTAATATCAACATTAACCAACTGATATTTTTTAGCATATGCTAACTGGCTTTCATTTTATTCGTAACATGATTGTCAAAGTTGGCTGCAAAATTTTGAAATCTTTCGTCACCCCTATTAACATTTTCTAAATAAATAAATGATTGCATCTATATTCAGAACGACTATATTGAATTAAGTTAAACGTCTATGGATTGCTGACTGAAAGTATTTTTTTCAGAATGAAATATTATTTACATTTTACACCATGTCCTCACGTTAACCACACAATTATTCATTACTCTGTAGTGAGTGCTTACCTGACCGTTGTTGTTACCTTGACGTGGTGGTCGGGCTTGCCTATCGTGATGAAGCAACTGAGCTATACTGGCTGGAACAACCGTTCCTCAAGGTCCTACCATGCCAGACAGGTCGGTTGAAGAGCGG